CTCTCGCTCTCTCTCTCCTCTCTCCTGTTCTCCTCTCTCTCTCTCTCCTCTCTCTCCTGTTCTCCTCTCTCTCTCTCCTCTCTCCTCTCTCTCTCTTTACCGTTTTCCCCACAATCCCGAATATAAAAATACAAATATGTATAAAAATATATATTTTCTGTAGGGAGTATACAGGTGCAGGTATGGAACATGTGTCACATGGCCTGATGCAGCTGAGGTTTCAGACTGACCTGCGAAGCCGGGGCTATTTTGAGTCCGGCAGCTACTCCGTTGTGGAAGCTGGGCCAGCTGGTCATGTTGGGAGGAACATCAATGTTCCCGCTGTTCAGATCCACCATGGTGTTCCTAGGAGGGGCTCGGCCTGGGGTAGAAAATTAGAAATATACAGTACAATCTCGAAAATAAACTAAAATCCAACATGATTAAAACTTCTAGGTACTTCATGACAAGCAAAAACACTCTTACATATTCGTATTTAGCTATCAATTAGCTGATATAACCTGAAATGCTTATTTTCACAGTCTTCCTGTTAATGTGCATAGTAAATGATTATCACATTACCTGTCAGGTTGAGTTTTGGGACAGGTAAAGGTTCTGTTAGTACAGGGTGATAAGAGAAGAGGGTGAAGAGGCCTCGGCCAACAGGAAGAGCCATGGTCCTCTGACACAACTGCAGGAGTCTGGGGGAAGATACAAAGACGTGGACAAAAAGAGAGTCAGATAATATACAGTATATAATCGACAGGAGGCATATTTGACCCTTTCTCTATATAAAGCTTCCGGAGAAGGAGAGGACAGCACTTATACATGGAATAAAGTCAAGTCAGTGGAGGAATATATTTAAGAAAGACAGACTGACAACAGGGTGACCAAAATATCAAGGAACAGAAAGAGAGAAAAAGGGAACAGTGGACAGGAAAATATGTTTTACACATGCTTTTAAAAGGTCCCCTATTATACTGTTTGTCACCAATATATTATAGGTCTCAGATATATACAAAACATGTCTCTGAAGTGTTTGGCTCCAAACACCAAACAGATCATTGCAGCATCCCCTAATCCCCTCTGTTTCAGCCCTGTTTCCAAAGTGCTGATTCTCTGTCTGTTACTTTAGGTGAAAATAAGGAGCCCCTCCCCACGCCCCTGTGAGAGATTTGGTTAAAAAGAACACAATGGTGCTCTAGGAGGAGATTCAGGTGATAAGGTGGGGGGGGTTACCTTGGTTGCTGATTGGCTAATGGTTACACAACCAAAACAATCGTTATCATAAAGTGGCCAAAATCTGATCAGCTCATTTTCAGACAGGTTTTTATAGAAATGGATCAGGACAAAAAGTGAGAAAATCTTTGTTCCTGAAACTTTCAGAATCTCTTTACACAGAGGGGACACATGTTTCTGTAGAACAAGTGGACTTTGCATAATAGGTGACCTTTAAGGACACACACACAGACATAATACTCACTTGTTCTCTTTCTCCTCTATGTACTCGTGATCAGAGACCTCTGGTAGCTGGACGACACTGACTCGGACCGGCCTGGAGCTCTGCAGCAGCCTCCTCACCTCCTGGACCCTCAGATCCTGACTCCAGATCAGCCCTGTGACCTGCAGAGGAGAACATACCAAATCAGACTCTCATGTTTGTTGTACCACCTTAAGATCAATAATAAACCTGATTCAGATAATGGTTAGAATGAAGACAGACCAACGATGCAAGAGATTAATATTAACTGTGAGTGTGTTTACCTCTTGAATAATGTCCGACATCCCGTCTTCCTCCTCGTCTGCTTCTGTGGTCGCAGGAGGCTCCAAGGAGAGACCTGAACCAACAGACTGCAAATACACACAATATGATTCATATATTTACAAAAGGGCTGTCATAATATTAGACTTTCCCTACACAATATATGGTAGCCTAAATAATTCACTTTAACAATATTATCGCAAATGAATAGCACTCAAAATACAAGTATAGGGAGATAGAAATTATGGTCTGTGACCAGAACGTCTTAACCTATGGATTAAGGCACAATGTATATTTTACCCAATATTCTCATATGTGCAATATTAACATGATATCAATATTTCGTTTTTTAAATATCACAGTGACCTTCAATACTGGGATATCACGAACATCCTAATAAAAATAAAGCAACAATGGAAGCTAGTAAAATATGTACAGACTGATTTTTCATCTCAACAACCTTACTGATTTAAAGATTTACAGTTCATTAATTTATAGGAAAGAAGATATTATTTCTGAATCTTCTGTTGTCTGACAAATGTCGTTTTTAGGCAATCAGACTTCCTTTAGCGATGTTAAAACTACAGCTGAAAGCTAAAAACATATTGCAGGGGTTGGCGGTGGGATTTGCATACACTGATTATAATCACAAATTAAAGGTGGGCTAGGTAAGTTTGAGAAACCGGCTCGAGATACACTGTTTGTTATATTCCATGGAATGCTCTTAACATCCCGATAGCAATGAATATCTTAAGTGCTTTGACAAAAAATCCATGAAAAAAAGTATTCTGTGGAAGCCGTGGCGCTGTAAAAAGCACGACCAATCATCTGAGCCGGCCCGGCTAAAATAACTGGATGGCCTACCTGCCTGTCAGCCTTCCATCTGTGCACAAACTTATCTCGTGCCCTCATTGGTCATGTGCGCGTTCGTGTGTGTTGGAGGAGGGGCTCTGTAAGGAAGTGGCAGATTTTCTCCGGTTGTGTATTTTCAAATTCTCGCGCACTCGAGCTGGTTTCTCCAAAAATACCTACCCCACCTTTAAGTAATATAAAATACCTGAAGGGACAAAGTTTAGACTGAAATCCTTCATTAGTGCTGAGCAGTACACGGTCAGCAGACAGTGTGTGTATCCTATTCTAACTCTTGATAAAAAAGCCCTGGTTATTAACTTGTTCCACACTCACAGCTTTGCTTTTGGCCAGAGTCATCTTGTGTGCTTGTTTAGTCAGATCCTGTCGCCCAATCAGCAGACAGACCTCCTCTGACCAATCAGAGCACGGTCGCTCCCGGCAGCGGTAGATGGCCTCTCTGATTGGCAGAGCCACACCGAAGGGGACCGACTCCAGGTCCTTCAGGGTGAAACCTAAAACAGAGAAAAGACCAGGGTAGGTGAGTCATTTCTGGTTAAAGAGGAAGCCCTGTCTTTAATTAACAAATGTGTCATAACAGTTACAAAAAGCAACTCCTGCCTCATCACAAGTGTCTTGTCATGTTAATATTAATCTTTATTTGTTAACAAATGTTGTTTAATGGTACATTCAGACCATAAATTGAGACCATTATATTTTTATATTGATGGTAGCCCTGACACATGCACAATTGTTACACTTGGACCCAATTATCAAACCACTTTAATACCAGTTCAAATGGTTTTGTACCTACAAAATGTCGCTGTACAGGTATGAATGTGTGAAATTGCATTAATGTAAACAAAAGAGGATAAGGCTTTAGCACATGTCCCTTTGTTTAGATAAAAGCTGAAAATATCTGCTTGTCTTACCTTCTGAGGTGAGCCACACCACCAGCTGCTCAGCCAGACTCTCACTGGAAAACTGAACCTTCACACTGCTTTGTCTAAAATAAATACATGTAAAAATGAGTCAAGACTAAATAGTAGAAAGTGAATAAAATAAGAAGTATTTATTTTCAAGATGTTCACACTATCCCACTGATCTACAGGTGGCAGTAATGCGCCAAAAAACTTGTAATGCAACAACTAAGGCAATAAAGACGAACACAAAGCAAACAAGGCTGGAAACAATACATTAATATGTCCAAAATAAATGATATGCCAATATTATAGAGCAATTAAATACATTCAACATTTATTTTTACTATAACAGTATATTTTGCAGCTGTATCATATGCAGTACATTAGCAAATCAACTCTAGGAACATGATGTACTGTGATGTTTAAATAAAGCATGTTACTGTACTAATGATCTGATAGTAGTTGCTTTAAAAAATAAAATCATAAAGCTATTTCTTTTTGAGCTGAATTACCTCCTGTACTGCGGTTCACTGGCACAGTTCTTCTGGCCTGGGAAAGTGGAGGATGAGAGGAAGAGAGCAGGAGGGAAAGGTCAACGAGTTCATTCATTTCCCTCTCCTCTTTGTGAGGTTGTCAAATTATGCTCATCACATTTTCATAACACTTGAAGGAAACTGTGAAACCCTCAAATGTATTAAAGCATTTTCAAAATGTGTCACTAAAAGAACAGGCACTTAAATTACAGGTTGAAATGAAGGCGACATTTTGTTCCTGTTGAGTTGAGGACTGCGTTTATGTGGAATGACCAGAGTTCCCGCAAATCTAAATCTCTCCGGTCAAAAATAATTTCCCCTTAGCACAATACCGCATCAGTTGCGCCACTTGTGTGACAGACAAGAAGAGTATGTGACAGACAAGAGAGTATGTGACAGACAAGAAGAGTATGTGACAGACAAGAAGAGTCAACTCTAATGTCTAACACTTAATGTGGAGAAAGAGATGTCCTGTGTGGGTTGATTGTGCATTAATCTGTTGGTAATGCCTCGGGGTTCCGGTGGGCATGTAAACAAATGCATAATGCTGCGCTATACTTTGTGGCCTCACCCGGTTGCATAGCGACGCTTATTGTGTAGGTGTCTTTTAATAAGCAGGTAGTCATATCATTAGCTAGATCTGATTGATATGGACAAAAACGCGAGTAAAATCTGACGGGAGAGAGAGATCAGCTGCTGCTGACGTGAGCGGAGCAAAACACACACTTCAGGTTAGAATATCACATGTAGCTATTTTAATTACCTCTCAAACTACCTAAAATAGTTATAGATATGTTTAGTTTTACTGTCGGGTCACTCATTACTGGAGAGGGAGAGAGCGCTCCGTTTATTATTCCTGTGTTATTATAAGTTACTGTACACGTTTGAATAATGTAGTTAGTCTACTATAATTAGTTTGTTTAATATCCAATCATATCAATTTGTTTTAAAGCTCAATCAATAACAAAGAAGACCTTTGCCCAGCACTTTTCTAATTTTGTCCGGAAGATTTAAACTTTAACAAACATTTTGACGGCCAAAAGAATATTCTAACGGGAACTCTGGGAATGACACCTTGTTTGTTTGGATTTGTCACTGAACAATGTCAACATAGAGCTGAAAAAAAGTTAAATGACTGATTCTGTGTCAGTGGAAGACGGGCTGATCAAATACCTGCAGTGACCTCCACACTGTATTATGTTTCCAAGCCAAAACAACTAGGTCACACATGTGCATGCGTCACTGCTTTTGTTTTGTGATACTGGACTCTGAAGCAAGGAACTATGGGACTGACAGGTAATAAGGGCCAGGAGCAGTGTGCGAAATACGGGGGGGTCCGGGGGAGATCGACCCTGAGCCCCCTTGAAAGCCTCAACAGCTAAATTTGAGGGGGGTCTCAAATTATAATATTTATTTGTCACTTGCAATGGTCACTAACATGTTTTTAAGCTTACTATGTCCAGTATTCACAATTCAAAACATGTATTCACAAATATCTTCTATTTTGGCTGGCAAAAGCATTTCCTCGCATAGAATCGAAAACAGACGGCTCTTTAACGGTCGCGTATTCATTCATTCATATGAACAGAAATATTCAGAATATAGAATTATTTGACGGCACCCCTGAAAACGCCAGACGGCGCCCCGGTTGAGAAACGCTGCTAGACTACTGATTGTCTTGGCTTGCATCCATGGCATATTGTATAGGAGGCCTACTGCATATTGAGAAATCTTCGACCGGTATAATGCCCAATAAACGGGAGATGGGGACCCCCCCGATTATTGACGGGTATTTCGCACACTGGCCGGGAGTCAATAAATGTTCTCATGCACAAACACAATCACTAAGAAACAAACAGTCCCAGGATGTCATTAAAGACAAGTAAATAATCTTTAGGAGTCACAAAGACACACACATACCTGCAGAAAGCTTGGCCAGGTATTTTGATTTATCCGTTGAAGTAGCATGTTCATCTCCAATGATGTAGAGAGCATAACTCTGAAAAAGGAGAAAGAGAAACAAGAGAGACAAAGATAAATAATACTGTTTAAACACCTCGCAAGACATTCATTTAAAAGGGGTCTTATTATGCTTTTTGTGGTTTTCCCTTTCCTGTAGTGTGTTATTTAGGTTGTTGTTCATCTTAATAGTCTGCAAAGGCAAAAGTTCGCTCCAGAGTGAGTTTCTCTCCTAAACAAAAATGAGAACTGTGTCCAAATCAGCACTTCTGTCAGTCTCAGTAAACCCTAAAGTGTGAGCTTCACTATATGTGAGGTTACTGTATAGATACTATATGAAAAAGTAAGATGTTTATCTTCTCCGCCATTTCTATATCAGAGTTTCATTAGGGTCATTTCTGGACTTATTTCTGCACCCCCGCTGTCTCACGGATACCGCAGGTCTTTCCTTCCTGCAGCGGTCAGACTATACAACCAGCATAGCCCCTAGTTGACCCCCCCCCCCCACAACACAGACTACATCACCCCTTGCTGCTAAATACCAACAAACTATGTGCAATGTGTGCAATATATAAATGCCGTTAATAACTGTGTAATAAATACCTGGCTGCTAAATCCTTAGAACTGTTACAAGGTGTGTATTTTGTAAATTGCTGCTGTTAAATACCAACCACCTATAATACATTTTACAGGTGCTCAAAGACGCTTTACAGATATAGTGAAAAGAAAAGAACAACAAATAAATATATATAGTTAAAGTCAAATAATACAAAAACAATCACACATTAAAAGCCAGATTGAAGAGGTGAGTTTTTGTAAGTTTTTTGAAGGTGGTGAGGTCAGTGCAGTCTCTAATGGCACATTTCCACTGCAGCGGGGTAGCCCCGTTTAAGCGTCCGGAGCGTCCTCGCTCAGGCCTCGGGCTGCCTCGCTGGCCGTGGCGCATTTCCATTACAGTTTAGGACCTGGGGTAGCAACAGGTAGCAACGCAGTGTAGGCGGGGCGATCGGCTTTTTTTTTTTTCACATTTCGAGTTGTTCGGTCGAGCTCTCGCTGGATTTTATCATCCCCAATGAGATGTAGGAACGTCGTCACCTCCTCCTCGGTCGACCACGGTGTGCTTTTCTTTGACGTTGCCATTTTTGTAGCTCCTCCGTTTACAAAAATGCTGTGTATAAAAATGCTGCAAGCTTGCTTCTAGATCTTGTGACGATTCTCTCTGACCAATCAGCAGTCGAGAGTGTTGACGTCACTAGTTCAGCCCTGGCCCTGGCCTGATAGAACCACGATTTTATGGGGCCGGAAAAAGAGGGAAAAAGTACCCGCTAGCTGGTACTACGCTGTATGGAAAGGCCACCAAAAACTGGCCTGGCCGCTTGAGGACGATTAAGGACGCTTAAACGGGGCTACCCGCTGCAGTGGAAATGCGCCATAAGCCTATGTGCAATATGTGCTAGATGTGCAATATATATAAATGCCGTTAATAACTGTGTAATATATACCTGGCTGCTAAATCCTAAGAACTGTTACAGGATGTGTATTTTTTTTAATTATATGTAACTTTTAATTTTTTTTATTATATTAGAACTTAGTACTTTTTTTTAAATGGATGTCACATATTTAACATATGTAACATTAAGCTGTCTGTGGCTCTTTTTCCTGCTGTAACTACGCAAATGTCCCCTCTGTGGGACTAATAGAGGTATTCTGATTCTGAAAGCCATGTTTGTTAGAATAAGCGTGGTGCCAGATCTCTGACCCACCTCCCACATCTCTGATTTGTTGTAAATAATGAATAAGGTGAAACAAAATGGCGATTAAAACTGATTATCAGGCTAGACAACAACTGCAGACCCGTGAAAATGCAAGTCTACTTGACTGAAAACACATTTTCAATTCAATGCAGGAAATATTTAATTTCATGGCTTTCAATAACTTTGTAAGGATAAGGACGCATATGTTTTTAAAGGATCTTTTCACATTGTGATCTGTACTGTCTATATATTTGTATGACCATGTATATCTATCTATATCTATAGGTTTCTCTAATCTGTTTCAAACAAAGTCAGATGGAAATATGACTTGTTTTCATGTGCCCTTCCTTCCTTGATAATAAAAGGTTGAATCCATCAGCAACACATCTCCAGACATAATTGCTCTTCATGTTCAGAAAAAGAATAACAGACATGCTACACATATAAATTATCTGACTGCGTCCCAATCAGAGCTAAACTCGTTCCCCTCGCTCTCACAGACACTCGTCAGCAAGCAGGTGGAAATCAAGTTCACAAAAGAAAGACAGAACATCATTAAAGTCAAGTAAAAAACAACTGTTAGACATCATCACAGACCTTTGAACATGAACAATGAAAATCATGCCGTCAGGTTCTACAAAAGTGAACATTTTACTGAAATACAGCTGGAATTCCTTACTCCCTGTGGCGTGTATGAACAAAAAAGTTGGCAGACAATGAAAATCTTAAATTATTCTATCCCTATTCGGAGGCCGGACCTTTGTTATTCCAATTGATTCTAGAAATTACTTCAAAAGCAAAAGACCACATTCTAGACACAAGCAAGTATTAGGGACTCAAAAGTTGTTCTTGTGATTTTCTCCACTCTGTTTTCTCCACTTTGCTTGTCCTCTGATAAATAATATCAATTTGGTTGAGGCCACATGATGCACATCACACATGTAAAGGTTAGGATTTCTCCAAGTTAAAACAAATAAAGTCGTACCAACTGCTCCAATTACTAGGATGGGTTAAAAGCAGAGAACAAATGTCACTGTGGTGCTGTGTGCATGATTACCACCATTAAAGAGGGTTTCATCCTCCAATTCTATCTATCTATTTACCAGAACCAGCAGCCGGGTCCTGTGGCAGATGTCGGGCAGGCAGGGGAAAGGCGGGACTTCCTCTCCTCTCAGACAGCTGCTGAGCCAGCTGAGCACGCAGGGAGGCTCCTCTGTCAGGAAGGACGGACGCTGCATCTGACCAATCAGAGCTGAGGAGGGAGAGCATAGATCTTTGAACAGCAAACTCCCTTCAAATGTTTAGAAGCAAATTAAAAATCTTTTAATTTGGGTTAACTTTCAATTCTCGCTAGTATCATTGTCCATGTTTTACTGTATTGTTTTTCTGTTTTGCTTTAATTTCACATTTGTTTTTATTTTAACATATTATCACTGTAGATGTTTTATCTTGTTCTGTATTCATTTTTATATTATTTTAATATTGTTGTTATGTTTTCTGTAAAGCACTTTGGGCTGCTTTGTGCATGAAAGGTGCTATACAAATACAGTTTAATATTATTATTATTATTGAGGCAAAAAGTTACTCATTTGTGTGAAAATCTTTGTTTTTAGTACAGAAAGACAATAGACCCTGTAAGAAATACAACTTTTGTAAGGATTATGACATGCAGAGACAATCAAAGGTGTTGACTCAAATACATTTTAAACCTTAGTCAAAAATAATATTTTAAAACAACAATATCTTTATGAGGAGGTCAGTCACGTGTGCATTTACTTTAGAATTATGTCCTTGTTTATGTCATTTCATCCCTCACAGACAAACCACTTTTACATGACATTTAACGCTGGGCTATATATCAAGGGATATGAGACTATATATATATCTTCTTACATTTTGTGTATCATAATATCGCGTAAGTGTCTTTTCTTGGTTTTAAAGGCCGCATTAGAGTTAAGTGATGTCATTTTTCTGGTGCATCTCTGTGTGTGTGTGTGTGTGTGTGTGTGTGTGTGTGTGTGTGTGTGTGTGTGTGTGTTTCGTTATTTGCTTTTATCCAATGACTGACAATTATTAATAAAAAATCTCATTGTGTCATTATTTTGTGAAAGCAACAATAGTTCACCCCACAATATTGTGATCATTCATTGTCTCCATATCAGCAAAATATGTCATTCACTTTTTAAGGTTAATGCTACAACCACAGATAAACATAGGGACAATAAAGACTGTAGTGTTGTCATACAGAAGCAGACCATTCTGTCCTCTCTGTTTCAGTACAACATGCTTTGCCTTTTTCCTGATTATATATCATTAAATTAGAATAGCAAAAGTATTATTTGCTACTTCTTACCCTGGTCTATGACGCAGCTCTCAGTGAAGCCACTTATTAAGGAGGGGTAGTCTCTCCAGTACAGATCCACATACTCATCCAACTGGAGGTCTCTGCAAACAAAAAGAAAGTAAGCAGTATAAATATTAATATTCCTCTACAGCAATGACCTTATATATACAAACACTTAACACCTCAGATTGTTTCTAAACTTTTATCCCCAGGTCTCTGTACAGCTGGACAAACAACAGCTGCAGGGCATTGAATCAAATCTAAAAATGGCAGCACATTATCAAAGAGACTCTGTGGCATTTCACTTGTTTTTGAGCAGTAATTAAAACACATGGTATAAGTAATTAACAGCTATGAGTCATTACCATTCTGCTTAACATCAGATAATCAATAGTTTTTAATCCTGACTCCCACACAATTTCAGTTATGTGTGTGCGTGTGTGTATGTATGTATGTATTGTTGTGAGTTTTCATAGTATGTTTAATACTTAAAAACGAAAGTTAGTTATAATCAAATATAATCAATTATATTCTTGTATAACCCACAATGAAAATGCTTCATATTTTAGGTTTTTCTATAGTTATCAATCAATCAATCAATCAATGTTTATTTATATAGCCCAATATCACAAATGTTACATTTGTCTCAGTGGACTTTACAGTTTGTACAAAATATCAGTATGACAATACGACACCCTCTGTCCTTAGACCCTCACATCGTACAAGGAAAAACTTCCGAAGAAAACCCACAGTTTAAAGGGAAAAATGGGAGAAACCTCAGGGAGAGCAACAGAGGAGGGATCCCTCTCCCAGGACGGACAGACGTGCAATAGATGCCGTGTGTAAATTGAAAAGATAATACATTTGCAACATAGGTAGTCCAAATGTTTGGAAATGCATGTGTGTATAATAGGAAGATGAATCCACGAGGATATCCATCCAGGACCTATGATCCAGGACCACAGCCACGACTCAAGATCCAGGGCTCGCGATCCAGGACAGAGGAGCGCAGGATTATCCATGACTCCGGATCCCGGCGTATATAGACACCAAAAAGAAAGACATTTGGGGAAGCTGGGTTAATCGGAACATGAGAGTACACAGGTATAGACAGAGAGAAGGAAGAAGTAAGATGTCCCCCGACAAACTAAGCCTATATCAGCAAAACTAGGGGCTGGATCTAATCAGCCCTAACTATAAGCTTTATCAAAAAGGAAGGTCTTAAGCGCACTCTTAAAAACGGATAGGGTGTCTGCCGCCCGAACACAAACTGGAAGCTGATTCCACAAATGTGGAGCTTGATAAGAAAAGGCTCTGGCTCCCATTGTACTTTTAGAGACTCTAGGAACAACCAACAACCCTGCATTCTTGGAACGCAATGCCCTAGTAGGACAGTAGGGTATAATGAGTTCTTTAAGGTAAGATGGCGCCTGCCCATTAAGGGCTTTGTAGGCGAGAAGAAGAATTTTAAATTCTATCCTGTGTTCTATAGGGAGCCAGTGTAAAGCAGCCAGAACAGGAGTAATGTGGTCCCTTTTCCTAACTCTGGTTAGTACACGAGCCGCAGCATTTTGAATCAGCTGAAGCGACTTGACTGACTTCTTGGTACACCCTGATAATAAAGAGTTACAATAATCCAGCCTTGAAGTAACAAATGCATGGACTAGTTTCTCTGCATCGTTTTGAGGCAAGATATGCCTGATTTTTGCAATGTTACGTAGATGGAAGTAGGCGGTCCTTGAAATTGATTTTATGTGGGCGTTAAAGGATAAATCCTGATCAAATATAACACCAAGATTCCTTACAGTCTCACTGGAGGCCAAATTAATGCCATCCATAGTTAATATATCCTTAGATAATTTGTTTCGTAGATTCTTCGGGCCAAGTACAATAACTTCAGTTTTGGTCGTGTTTAACATCAAAAAGTTTAAGGTCATCCACGTTTTTAAGTCCTTAAGGCAGTCTTGAATTTTATTTAGATGATTAATTTCATCAGGCTTGATTGATAAATATAGTTGAGTATCATCCGCATAACAATGAAAGTTTACAGAATGATTCCTTATAATATTGCCTAACGGAAGCATATATAATGTGAACAAAATAGGTCCGAGCACTGAGCCCTGTGGCACTCCATGGCTAACTTTGGTTTGCGTGGAAGATTCATCATTGACACGTACAAACTGAGAGCGTTCAGATAGATAGGACCTAAACCAGTCTAAAGCAGTTCCCTGTATGCCAACTAAGTGCTCTAGTCTTTGCAATAAGATATCATGGTCGATAGTATCAAATGCAGCACTGAGATCGAGCAAAACAAGAATAGAGACACGTCCCTTGTCAGAGGCTATTAGAATGTCATTTGTGACTTTAACCAGAGCTGTCTCTGTGCTATGATGTGTTCTAAAGCCAGACTGAAAAGCTTCAAATAAATCATTGTTTTTTAAGTAATCACACAACTGTTTTGCGACCGCTTTCTCAAGAATTTTTAAGAAGCGGTTTTATCACTGCTACTTTGAATGATTGTGGAACATAGCCTGATAATAAAGACATATTCATAATATTTAATAAATAAGTGCTAATTAATGGAAAAACTTCCTTCAACAGCTTAGTTGGAATTGGGTCTAACATGCACGTTGATGGTTTAGAAGAGAGAATCATTGAATTTAATTGTTCAAGGTTTATGGCTGAAAAGCATTCTAGTTTACTATCTAGTGTAATATTAGAACTTACGTTTCCGGGAGCTGTTGATAACACTATACTGGTCAAAGGCAAGAGGTCATTAATTTTGTTTCTAAGAGTAACAATTTTATCGTTAAAAAAGCACATAAAATCATTACTACTGAGTGCTATGGGAATAGAAGGCTCAATCGAGCTGTGGCTTTCTGTCAGCCTGGCTACAGTGCTGAAAAGAAATCTTGCATTATTCTTATTCTCATCTATTAATGAAGAGTAGTAAGCTGCTCTCGCTTTACGCAATGCTTTCTTATATTCATTGAGAGTAATATGCCAAATTAAACGAGATTCTTCAAGTTTAGTAGAACGCCATATCCATTCAAGTTGTCTCGACTTTTGCTTTATTTTGCGGGTTTCGGCATTATGCCATGGAGCTAGTCTATGTTGTTTTATTTTCTTCATTTTCAAAGGAGCAACAGAGTCTAATTTTATTCGCAGCGCATCTGTAGCACTATCAACAACATGATCAATTTGGGGTGGTGTACATTTTGTATAAGCAAGTACCAGTGTCTTGAAGTGGATTCTAGCAGTTACCGGAAGCCAGTGAAGGGAGCGGAGGAGCGGAGTGGTGTGGGAGAATTTAGGAAGATTGAAAACCAGACGAGCCGCTGCATTCTGGATGAGCTGCAGAGGTCGGATGGCACATGCAGGTAGACCAGCCAGGAGGGAGTTGCAGTAGTCTAGGCGTGAGATGACGAGAGCCTGGACCAGAACCTGAGTCGCTTTCTGAGTCAGCTGGGGACGTATCTTCCTGATGTTGTAAAGCGTGTATCTGCAGCAACGGGTTGTAGCAGCGATGTTTGCAGTGAAGGACAGGTTGTTATCTAGGGTCACACCCAGATTCCTTGCAGTCTGAGTCGGGGAAACAACTGAGGTGCCGATGTTGATTGTCAGGTCAAGAGTTGGACAATCTTTTCCCGGGAGGAAGAGCAGCTCAGTCTTGTCAAGGTTGAGCTTGAGGTGGTGAGCAGACATCCACTGAGAGATGTCAGCTAGACAAGCAGAGATGCGTGCGACGACCTGGGTCTCTGAGCGGGGAAAGGACAGAATTAATTGGGTGTCGTCAGCGTAGCAATGGTAAGAAAAACCATGCGGGCTAATGACTGATCCGAGCGAGTTTGTGTACAAGGAGAAGAGGAGGGGACCAAGAACAGAGCCCTGAGGGACCCCCGTAGTTAATTGACAAGGGTCGGACTCAGACCCTCTCCAAGTCACCCTGTAGGTACGGTCTTTCAGGTATGAGGTGAGGAGGGAAAGTGCAGAGCCTGAAACTCCAAGTTTTTGGAGAGTGCGAAGGAGGATCTGATGATTCACCGTGTCGAATGCAGCAGACAGGTCCAACAGGATGATGACAGAGGAGAGGGATGCAGTTTTGGCAGTGTGCAGTTCCTCCGTGACAGCAATGAGAGCAGTTTCTGTGGAGTGACCTGCCTTGAAACCAGACTGGTGCGGATCCAGAAGGTTGTTCTGATTGAGATAACAGGAGAGTTGTTTAAAGACAGCGCGTTCAAGTGATTTAGACAGGAATGGGAGGAGAGAGACAGGCCTGTAGTTTATAACATAAGACGGGTTGAGAGTGGGTTTCTTTAGGAGAGGGTTTACTCTTGCCTCCTTGAGACTGTTTGGAAAGTGACCAGAAGTTAGAGAAGTGTTGATGAAATGGGTGAGAAACGGTAGAATATCAGGAGTGATAGTCTGAAGGAGGTTTGAAGGGATAGGGTCCAGAGGACAGGTGGTAGGGCGGGCAGAAGTAATGAGGGTAAGAACCTCACTTGGAGAGAGAGGGGAAAAGGAGGTTAGTGTGTTGGTGGAAGGAAGGTCTGGTGACCCAGCGGTGAGTAAAGGTGAGTCAGAAAAAGAAGAGCGAATATCATTAACCTTTTTTTCAAAGTGGGTAACAAAGTCGCTTGACAGAAGTGAGGAGGGGGGAGGAGCTTTTGGAGGGTCCAAGAGGGTGGAGAAGATGGAAAATAGTTTTTTAGGATTGGAATAGGAAGATTGGATCTTATCTTGAAAGAAAGTGCTTTTTGCCTGAGAGATTGAAGCAGAGAAAGAGGAGAGGAGAGCTTGATAGGTTAGGAGGTCGTCACGGTGTTTGGATTTCCACCATTTCCGCTCTGCTGCCCTAAGGACGGTTCTATTAGCACGCAGTGCATCATTTAGCCAGGGAGCCGGAGGGGACTGACGAGCCTGCCGAGATGTCAGAGGACAGAGCGAGTCCAGAGTGGATGAGAGAGTAGAGAGGAGAGTTTCTGCAGCAGAGTTTGGAGGCAGTAGTTGGAACGAATCAGAGGAAGGGAGGGCTGAGAGCACCGACGAGGCAAAGGTAGAGGGAGAGAGGGAGCGAAGGTTACGGCGGACAAGTGTAGGA